GCCCAGGGAGGTTGTGGAATCCCCATCTCTGGAGATATTTAAGAGCAGGTTAGAGAAATGTCTATCAGGGATGGTCTAGACAGTACTTGGTCCTGCCATGAGGGCAGGAGACTGGACTCAATGACCTCTTGAGGTCTCTTCCAGTCCTAGTATTCTATGATTCTACCACGAGGGAAAGACTTGTCCTAGCTAGAGACAGAGCTTTCTCAAGAGCCAGATGCTGACTGCACAACAGTCCGAGATAGGAACTTACAAGTAGGGTTGCCAGATAGTTTACCCAAAATATCGACCCCTCCCCCCCCCCCCAAAAAAAAAACACCGGGAAAAAAATTCTGTTGAAGTCCAAAGTTGTTGAGCAAAAAAAAAAAAAAAGGACTCCACTCCAAGACTTAAACAAAAATAAAATAAAAAATTAAAACAGCATGTCCCCTTTAAGAGTGAGTGCAGGGATAGAAACTGGGGATAGGTTGAGCACTAAGACCCAGGGGAGTCATTGCTTCCCCTTGGTCTTTTTGCCAGCAGCCATTTTGTGCGGGCAGCCTTGCGGAACCAGGTAAGCATGGGGGTTGGGGTCGGGGGGCTAGGGGTGTTGGGAGCGGGGGGGGCCCTCAGGGTCGAGGGGGAGGCTGGGCACTGAGTGTTTGTAGGGTTGCATTTTCGTCTCTGGCCGGGAAAAAAATCAGAAAATACCAGACATTTTAGGTGTCCTGTATTCTCTGATTTTTTTTACCAGACAGGAGGCAAAAATACTGGACTGTCCGGAGGAAAAAAATTAGAAAATATGGGACATCTTAGGCATCTGGTATTTTCTGAATTTTTTATCAGACAGGAGGCAAAAATATCAGACTGACCGGGTGAATACCGGACACCTGGCAACCCTAGCCAGGAGTAAGAGCAGTCGGACACCCGGGCTCACAGCCATGGCTCAGGAGCGCAAGGGGAAGCCAAAAGGGAGGCCTCACTGACTCAGACTGTAAGGGCAGAGGGGCCCATCGTGACCAGCGGGTCTGATTTCCTGCAGGCCGCAGCACCTCAGCCCCACTCCTGTCCTAGACTCACTGCCTCCGAGTTCCTGACCCCAGCCCAGGAGGTCGAATGACAGAGAATCCACCATTCGCACTAGTAGAAACCAGCAAGCATCCCATGCCCCTGCTGCAGACAAAGGCAACCTTGCCCACCCAGCCCCCAAGGGCTCTGCATGTCTGCCCCACCGCCCGGCAAAACCCTCCGCCCAAGCCCCGGGAAAGGGCTCTCTGGAGCCCCTCGGAGGAGCCTGGCCTTTGGCCACCCACTGAGGAAGGAAGGGCCAGGCCCCAGGAGGCCTGAGTGCAGGTCTCCCAGTAGGGCCCCGCGGAGTGCCCGGGGGACCCACGCTCTTTCCTGGAGCAACGCAAAGCCGCAGGTCTCCGTGTGTACAGGTGTGACTAGTGAGGGGGCTGCCTACTCCAGTGGCCCTGGGCCCACGCTGGTGGGCATGCACTGGCTGCCATGTGTGCTGGGGTGACCCCTGCTGGCCTCTGGCTGTAAGCACTGCCCAGTGCTGGTCGCCCCCGCCCCAGACAATGCCCAGCAAAGGTTTCTCCCCTAACCATGAGAAGGGGGTGGCTACCCGGGGGGATGGGTGTTCTGTGGTTTTTGAGGAGCAGTTTTGGAAAACACGAGGACAGACTGAGCCGACTGCTGGGGGTTGAGGGGCCTGTGGACCCCACCCCAAGGGGTCGGAGGCTGCCCGCCCTGACCCCTATGCCCACGTCGAACCCGGGCTGGGCTGTGCCTCTGCGAAGCAATAAACCCCCGTTCTACAGCTGGCAGAGTCACGTCTTGCTGCCGACGGGGGTGCAGGGTCGGGGGGTCCCCCCAGGCGGCCCAGATCCGTCGATCGGCGGGTCTGGGCCCGGCGGG